GGGTTTGGGGGGAGGGGTAAAGGAGGTTTTTTGTGCGGGGGGTTGGACTTCCCCGCAGGCATGCGGAGCGTGTTTGATAGGAGGAATGGAACAAATGGTTTTTAATACTTTACGTGCTTTGGAGTGTGAGCAAAGTAACATTTTGAAGGGGTTCAGGGAAACCGGCAGGCCGGACTTGATCGGAGAGGAAGTACAGTGCCTGCACCTGAAGGGGGGGTGTTTAAAGTTCAGTTTAAAAAAAGTAGTGTAAAGCACCCTTCTGGCAAGACAGGAGGGGGGGAATGATGGTGAAAGTTTTTTTTTTTTCGGGCCCCCCTGCCTTTGGGGGGATCGGGCCGGTGTGATTAAAAAAAAAATAATAATAATAATAGTTTGTAAGGAAGAGTGACTGGGAAAAACTTTTAAGCATGTACTGTATTTATTTTACTTTATCCCAGCGTTTAAGCATTTTATGATAGTAAAACTGTTATCAGGGGTTTTAGATGCATTCAAAAATGAAAAAAAAAATTTCACCTCCAGCGATATTTATTACTGTACGGGGTTGCAAACTGCGCAAATAGGGTCTTCCTTAATTTTTTATACAGGACCCCCTCATCACTGGTTGGTTACAACCCTTTTTTCGGCACCCGTTTTTCGGCCACGGGACGCGTTCATCCACCGCTGGGGCCGCTTTCGATCATTTGGCTTTTTTTCTAGGGGGCGGGGGGAAGCTTCTGTTATTCATCCAAACTTTTTCTTATTTTTCCGTTTTAGTTTTTTGTTATTTTTGCATGAAAAGTGAAAAAGTAACCATGGCTCCAAAGAAAGTTCCCGTGGTAAAGAAAAATGAGAAACCCCATGGAATTTTAACATAATATAGAAAAGATTGAAAGTGGGATAAGGTGGTGGAACTTTCCAGGATGTCAGCAAAAATTAATCCAAAAACATCCATCCCTGGCAAAAAAGAACAACCAAAAATGCTGAGTTGCAAAAAGGGGTAACTTGTCTAACAAAAAAAGGCCCCATAAGGAAAAAGATGGGAAAAATTTTTATTTTTTTTATGGGTTAAGAAAAAGGGAAATTTGTGGGGGGAAAAGATTCTGGGTCCATTGTTTTGAAAGGCAAAACAGAGGATTTGCAAAAAAAATGCTGAAAAAGCGCGTTTGTGAATTTAGGCCAGCAAAGGATGGTTTGATAGATTTAAGAAGCATAGTGGCATACATGGTGTTGTAAGGCAAGGCGAGGCTACAAGTTCTGACAAATGTGCGGCTTAAAAGTATGTTCACGAATTCCAACAAGTGTTCAATTGTGACAAAACAGGCCTGTTTTGGAAGAAAATGCCAAACAGAACCTACATTACCCAGGAGGAAAAGGCACTGCCAGGACACAAGCCATTGAAAGACAGGCTTACTCTTTTGTTGTGTGGTAATGCTAGTGGGGATTTCAAAGTGAAGTCTTTACTCATGTATCACTCAGAAAATCCCAGTGTGATCAAGAAAAACAATGTCCTGAAGAATAGATTGTGTGTGATGTGGAAAGCTAATCATAAGGCATGGGTCACAAGGCAAATTTTCAAAGAGTGGGTTAATGTGTTTGGCCCAAGTGTGAAAAAATACCTCCTGGAAAAGAAATTGCCACTCAAGTGCCTCCTGTTACAGGACAATGCTCCTGCACATCCTCCAGACTTGGAAGACCAAGTGTTTAGGGACTTAAATTTTATAAAAGTGAAGTTCTTGCCTCCTAACACCACTCCTCTCCTCCAGCCCATGGACCAGCAGGTCATTGCTAACGTCAAAAAACTCTACAAAAAAGCAGTTTCAAAAGTGCTTTGAAGTGATGTCGGACACTCGGTTGACCCTAAGACAGTTCTGGAGGAATCACTTCACTCTCCTCCATTGAATAAGCCTTATAGATAAGGCTTGGGAGAGAGTGACTTCCAGGACTTTGAACTCTGCTTGGAGAAAACTGTGGCCAGATTGTGTCCAAGAGAGGGATTTTGAAGGGTTTGAGGCTGACCATGACCCTGCCAACCCTGTGGACTCGATTGTGGCACTGGGGAAGTCCCTGGGGTTGGAGGAGAGTGGTGAGGATGTGGAAGAGTTTGAGGAGGACCACAGGGAAGAGCTAACCACTGAAGAGCTGCAAGAGCTTCATCTCAAACAGCAACAGACTGCAGCTGAGGAACTTGCTTCAGAGGAGGAGGAAGAGGGAGTGAAGGAGGTGCCTTCGTCAGAGATTAGAGAGGTGTGTGCAATCTGGACTAGGGTGCAAGCTTTTGTAGAGTAACTCCACCCTGACAAAGCTGAAACAAGCCATATCTGCAATATGTTGAGTGGCAAAACCCTGTCCCACTTCAGAGAAATCTTAAAAAGAGGCCAGAAACAGATCACTCTGGACAGTTATTTTGTGAGACAGGAGTCCAGTGATTCAAGCTGGTCCTAGTGGCATTAAAAGACAGACGGGAAGTAACCCCAGAGAAGGCTTTGGTACCTAAAGTCTTTATGGAGGGGGATTCCCCTTCCAAACACTAACTCCTCCCTATCTTCCAGAAGCCAGCATTAGCCTTCAATAATGGTATGTAACACTTACATAATTGTTAAAAAATTTTTCCAGAATATTTTTGTTTGGAACAGATTAATTTTTTTTTTTAACAAGTCGGCCATCTCCCACTGAGGCAGGGTGACCCAAAAATAGAAAGAAAATCCCCAAAAAGAAAATACTTTCATCATCATTCAACACTTTCACCTCACTAACACAATCACTGTTTTTGCAGAGGTGCTCAAAACACAACAGCTTAGAAGTATATACCTATAAAGATACACAACATATCCTTCGAAACTGCCAATATCCCAAACCCCTCCTTTAGAGTGCAGGGACTGTACTTCCCATTTCCAGGACTCAAGTCTGGCTATATAAAAATAACCGGTTTCCCTGAATCCCTTCACTAAATATTACCCTGCTCACACTCCAACAGATCGTCAGGTCCCAAATACCATTCGTCTCCATTCACTCCTATCTAATACGCTCACGCACGCTTGCTGGAAGTCCAGGCCCCTCGCCCACAAAATCTCCATTACCCCCCCCTCTCCAACCTTTTCGAGGATGGCCCCTACCCCGCCTTCCTTCCCCTACAGATTTATACGTTCTCCATGTCATTCTACTTTGATCCAGTCTCTCTAAATGACCAAACCACCTCAACAACCCCTCTTCAGCCCTCTAATACTTTTATTAACTCCACACCTTCTCCTAATTTCCACACTCCGAATTTTCTGCATAATATTTACACCACACATTGCCCTTAGACAGGACATCTCCACTGCCTCCAACCGCCTCCTCGCTGCTGCATTCACAACCCAAGCTTCACACCCATATAAGAGTGTTGGTACTAATATACTTTCATACATTCCCTTCTTTGCCTCCATAGATAACGTTTTTTTGTCTCCAAATATACCTCAACGCACCACTCACCTTTTTTTCCCCTCATCAATTCTATGATTAACCTCATCCTTCATAAATCCATTCGCCGACACGTCAACTCCCAAGTATCTGAAAACATTCACTTCTTCCATACTCCTCCCCAATTTGATATCCAATTTTTCTTTTTCTAAATCATTTGATACCCTCATCACCTTACTCTTTTCTATGTTCACTTTCAACTTTCTACCTTTACACACATTCCCAAACTCATCCACTAACCTTTGCAATTTTTCTTTAGAATCTCCCATAAGCACAGTATCATCAGCAAAAAGCAACTGTGTCAATTCCCATTTTGAATTTGATTCCCCATAATCATAATTGTATTTCCATTAATTCTCACGGGAAATATTAATTCAGTTTTCGGCCATTTCGGTTATTGGCGGACCTTCTGGAACGGATTACGGCCAATAACCGGGGGTCCACTGTATTCATTAGAACTACAGTATTTTTTTACATTCTGTTGAACTAGCCCTAGGATAAGTTTAAGCTTGACTGAAATGCTTTGCATAACACAGGGATCTTCATGTGCACTAATACAATGTCATTAAATTTAATAAAACCTATATAACATCTGGAAATAAAAAAATATCTTATTATCATAACACGCTGGCATTTACAACCCAAGCTTCACACCCATATAAGAGTGTTGGTACTACTATACTTTCATACATTCCCTTCTTTGTCTCCTTAAATAATATTTTTTGCCTCCACATATACCTCATCGCACCACTCACCCTTTTTCCTTCATCAATTCTATGATTAACCTCATCCTTCATAAATCCATCCGCTGACACATTAATTAACTCCCAAATATCTGAAAACGTTCACTTCTTCCGTACTCCTCCCCAATTTGATACCAATTTTTCTTTATCTAAATTATTTGATACTCTCATCACCTTACTCTTTTCGTCCACTAACCTTTGCAATTTTTCTTTAGAATCTCCCATAAGCACAGTATCATCAACAAAATGTAACTGTCACTTCCCATTTTGTATTTAATTCCCCATAATTTAATCCCACCCCTCTCCCAAACACCCTAGCATTTACTTCTTTTACAACCCCATCTATAAATATATTAAACAACCATGGTGACATTACACATCCCTGTCTAAGACCTACTTTTACTGGGAAGTAGTCTCCCTCTCTTCTACACACCCTAACCTGAGCCTCACTATCCTCATAAAAACTCTTTACAGCATTTAGTAACTTACCACCTATTCCATATACTTGCAACATCTGCCACATTGCTTCCCTATCCACTATCATATTTTTTTTTTTCCAACAAGTCGGCCGTCTCCCACCGAGGCAGGGTGACCCATATGCCTTTTATAAATCCATAAATGCTCATATGAGCACATAATACCTAAGGAAACCATTTAGCCAGACGAGTTTAGGATGCAGCAACTACTATGCCTGTACTCTTAAGGTCCAGTGGAGATTTTTACAGATCAGTAGTTTATTACAGCATACTATATGCTCTTCTGTAAAGAATTTTGAAAGCAAGGGCTAGTTTGAGAGGATACCAAGAGATAATGACACTTTACCTTTATGACCCAATCCCTAGTAGGTGTATGGTGACATAAATATCGAAGTACACGGTGAAGACGACCAGTATTGAGCTTGGGTTCATCTACAAAAAGAAGAACTAAAAGGCATGTCATGGCTTCATGGTCCAGAAGTTGGCGACCCCGTGGTTTGCTGCTGTGTGTAGAAACGAAAAACAAAAGCTCAGTTTATGACATGGCCAACTTCAATATAAACATTTAAGAAATGATAGAAAAAGTAGAATATAGATCCAACAAGCATTGAAGAGTAACCGATATCAAGGCCAGCAGTCATCAACTTCTTCACTGACAATGTCCATCAAGAAACTCATTCAATCACCAACTATTCACTGTCCAGTGCTGATCCACCAAACCCAAAAATATTCCCACCCCTCTTTACCTTTGACGAGTTCTGAGAGTTCCTCCTATTCCCTGAGCCCAGCACTAGACCAGGCTCGTCTGCTGCTTGCCTGTTTAACCAGGCTGTTGCTGCTGGTGGCCTGCCAACCCACATTTTCATCAACAGTTTCCTCTTGAAGACTTGTACATTTGTCTCAGCAGTGTTTCTGATATCTTCTGGTAAGATTATGAATAGTCTGGAGTCATGGATGTTGATACAATGCTCCCTTATTGTGCCCACTGATCCCATGCTTTTCACTGGGTTTATTTTGTACTTCCTTCTATGTTTCACTCCAGAATGTTATGGCAGTGTGCAGATTCAAGACAAGGCCCTCAAGTACTTTCTACCTAACCTGGGCAGTCAAAATGGAACAATATTCTAAACATGAGAGCACAAACAGTTCTGAGCCCTTCATTAATTCCCCCCCTCCCCAAAAAAAAAAAGATTATCTACCATTTTAGAAGACATAAATGTGGGACACTGAGTACTTTTACGAGTACTTTTAATTTTGGGACATTGGACAGCGAGGTTTGTGTCCACTTGTGATTTACACACGCACTTGTACGCTTGTCTTACTAAATTTATTCTCTGACCACCCCATCTCAATGTCATTTGTGCTCTCAATTTTTTACTACTGACCACCCAATTACTGTAACGATCAAAAGTCACACCTCTCACTGATACAAGTCACCACCACTATACTTTGGTACCTCCTTCCCCCTCCCTTTTTAATACCCAAATTTCTACAGCTTTTCTTTTGAATGTTCCATTAGCATTGTGCCAACTGCAAAAGGCAACAATTATCTTTAGTGGATTCACAATCTCTTCCCCTAACACCAGCTCTTCCATCATTTTACAACCTTATTCACAAACACATTAACCCTTTGACTGTCGCGGCCGTATATATATGTCTTACGAGGTACCGTGTTTGACGTATATATACTCATAAATTCTAGCGGCTTCAAATCAAGCAGGAGAAAGCTGGTAGGCCCACATGTGAGAGAATGGGTCTGTGTGGTCAGTGTGCACCATATAAAAAAAATTCTGGAGCACGCAGTGCATAATGAGAAAAAAACACTGACCATTTTTTTAATTAAAATCCCGACTTTGTGGTCTATTTTCGTATAGTATTTATGGTTGTATTCTCGTTTTCTTTGTCTCATTTGATAGAATGGAAAACATATTATAGAAATAGAGGTGATTTTGATTGATTTTACTATAAAAAGAACCTAGAAATGGAGCTCAAAGTAGGGGAAATGTTTGATTTTTGCCAATGTTCAAAAGTAAACAAATGATGTCATTGTCCAATAAATGTCCAACTAGCCATTCTAATATGCAGTCATGAATGGGTTGATGTTATTTATACAATTATTACAGTATTGCAGTAGTCTGCATAATAGTAAGTCTTCTGTTTTTTTGTTTGAATAAAAATTCAAAATAGAAAGCAAGAGTAATATCAGAGGGGCCTGGAAACACGACTGATGAGCAAAGAAAATGAATGTCTGCATTGTTCATTCTGGACCTTATTTTGAAATTGTCATATTTTTTAGTTTTTGTGAAATTGGCCAAATTGCAAATTTCTGACCACATTATTAGGTATTTGAAATCGGTAAATGGGCAGTTTCTTGTACTCAATCGATAGAAAAAACGGAGTTCTAAAGAAATAGCTATGAGTTTGGGCGACTGGAACAATGGACTTAGCCGAAAATAGGGCTCAAAGTGGGCGAAATCGCCGATTTGTAAACAGCACCGAGGTCGCTAACTTCGCGAGAGCATAATTCCGTCAGTTTTCCATCAAATTTCGTTTTTTTTTTTTGTGTCATTACAATCGGGAAAAGATTCTCTATCTTTTCATAAGAAAAAATAATTTTTTTTTTAAATTTTGCGACACCAGGAGACACCTAAGGATTGGGGGTTGCGACAGTCAAAGGGTTAAACAATCATGGTGACGTATATTTATTACAAACCCAGAATAGTTATACACTCCGAAAAATTATACCTTTCAATAACTTTCCAACTATTCTATACAGTTACCACCATGCACATTGCTACCCTGTAATGCCATTTGATTTAAAAAAAAAAAAAAAAAAAGCATGCGTAAAATTACTATTATCTCAAAACTAAACACTGTTCTTACGTGGCTGTTACTTGCTGACCACTAGATGAGGTTCGGAGATTCCAGCTAGTAGACCAGCTTGATGAATGCATGAGGCGTGAACCAATACGTGCTGTGTTGCGTAATATAGAAGAAAGAGAAGTACCAGATCTATTGAACATATGCTCATGGACATGTCTATTGCGCTCCTCACGCTGACGGCGAAGTGTCTGAGCTTCTTGAGCTAATTCTGGGGGTAGTGCTGCAAACTGTGAATCTTCTAAGTCTGCCAGAATCTGAAATATTCACCAAGTAATTTACGTGTATTAGTAAAAAATGTAAAAAGAATTTTTTTCAACTGGCCGAATCCCACCAAGGCAGGGCGACCTAAAATGAAAAACTAAAGTTTCTCGTTTTAAATTTAGTAGTGCATACAGAAGGGGTTATTAGCTCCTTGCTTCCGGCATTTTAGTCACCTCTTATGACACACGCATGGTTTACAGAGGAGAAAAAAAAAAGAAAGGCAGATGGGTTTTGAAATTTAAATAGCGCTAACTGTACTCGCCTATTTGTACTCTATTTGTGGGTGCAGGGGTAGATTCTCAGATCCTGGCCCTGCCTTTTAACGTCCACTCTTCAGAATCACTCCATCTTAGCCTCATGGCCCTACTGAACTTTCTATTAAAACTATGTATGGAGCATGCCTGCACCACTTCCTGATCAATCAAACTGAAGAAATGCTTCCTAACATCCTTGTGGTTCATCTGTGACTTACTCAGTGTCTCACAGTGCCCATTTGCCTTTCAAATGGCTTATCCCTATCTACCTTAACCCTCTGACTGTTGCGACTCCAAACCCTAAAGTCTCTCTCTAAATAAATAAATAAAGTCGGCCATCTCCCACCGAGGCAGGGTGACCCAAAAAAAGAAAATCCCCAAAAAGAAAATGGGATAAAAATAGAAATGTTAAAGGCAGGTGGGGATATAGTTTTGGAGTGGTTAGTGTCTTTATTTAATAAATATATGGAAGAGGGTAAGGTACCTAGGGATTGGCAAAGAATGTATAGTTCCTTTGTATAAAGGCAGGGGACAAAAGTGTGTAAAAATTATAGAGGAATAAGTCTGTTGAGAATAAATGGTAAAGTGTATGGTAGTTATTATTGAAAGGATTAGGAGTAAGACAGAGCAGGATAGCAGATGAACAAGGAGGCCTTAGGAAGGGTCTGGGGTGTACAGACCAAGAGCTTGCAGTGAAACAGGTGAACAGTATTTACATAAGGGTAAAGAGGTATTTGTGGCATTTATGGATTTGGAAAAGGCATATGATAGAGTGGATAGGGGGACAATGTGGCAGATGTTGCAAATGTATGGAATAGGAGGGAGGTTACTGAAAGTGGTGAAAAGTTTTTACGAGGATAATGAGGCTGAGGTTAGAGTATGTAGGCCTTAGACAGGGATGTGTGATGTCACCATGGTTGTTTAATATATTTATAGATGGAGTTGTAAGAGAAGTGAATGCTCGGGTGTTGGCAAAAGATATGGGGTTAAAAGATAAAGAATCTGACACAAAGTGGGAGTTGTCACAGTTGCTCTTCGCTGATGACAGTGTGCTTTTGGGAGATTCTGAAGAGAAGTTGCAGAGGTTGGTTGATGAGTTTGGTAGGGTATGTAAAAGGAAATTAAAAGTGAATATAGGAAAGAGTAAGGTGATGAGGATAACAAAAAAATTAGGTAATGGAAGATTGGATATCAGATTGGAGGGAGAGAGTATGGAGGAGGTGAATATGTTCAGCTATTTGGGAGTGGATGTGTCAGTAGATGGGTCTATGAAGGATGAGGTGAATCATAGAATTAACGAGGAGAAAAAGGCGGGTGGTGCACTAAGGAGTCTGTGGAGACAAAGAACTTTATCCACAAAAGCAAAGAGGGAAATGTATGAAAGTACAGTTATACCAATGCATTGTATGGGTGTGAGGCAAGGGTTGTGAATGTTGCAACAAGGAGAAGGCTGGAGGCAGTGAAGATATCAGTGGCGAGAATATAATGCAGAGAATCCATAGTTTGAAGATCAGAAGGTGGTGTGGGATTACCAAGACTATAATGCAGAGGGCTGAGGAGGGGTTATTGAGATAAATATGGTTACTGAGATGGTTTGGATATGTAGAGAGGCTGGAACAAAATAGAATGACTTCAAATATATAAATCTGTAGTGGAGGGAAGGCAGGGTAGGGGTTGGCCAAGGAAAGGTTGGAGGGAGGGCGTAAAGGTGGTTTTGTGTGTGAGGGGCTTGGACTTCCAGCAAGTGTGCGTGAGAGTGTTAGATAGGAGCGAATGGAGACAAATGGTTTTTAGGACTTGACGTGGTGTTGGGGTGTAAGCAAGGTAACATTGATGAAGGGATTCAGGGAAACCGGCAGGCCGGACTTGATTCCAGGAGATGGGAAGTACAGTGCTGGAACTATGAAGGAGGGGTGTTAATGTTGCAATTTTATAACTGTAGTGTAAGCATGACTGGCAAGACAGTGATGGAGTGAGTGATGATGAAAGTTTTTCTTTTTCGGGCCACCCTGCCTTGGTGGGAAACTGCCGATGTGTCAATAAAATAAAATAAAAAATTCAAATCGGTAATTGTTGAATTTTGTGAGAAATTGGCCAAATTACCAATTTCTGAATGTCTTATTGGGTAGCTGAAATAAGCAAATGGGTAATTTCTTGTACTCATATGATAGAATGTAAATAGCTACAAGTTTGGTCGATTGGAACAATGGAACTGGCCTAAAATAGATCACAGAGGGGGCAAAACTGCCAATGCGTAAATATCGTCAAGACCGCTAACTTCGCGAGAGCATAATTCTGCGAGTTTTCATACTTTTGGTTTCATTACCTTCGGGAAAAAGAGTATCATTTCACAATTTTTTTTTTTGGTGGTGGTGGGGGTGAGGGGGGGTAATTCTTAGACCCTGAGAAAAAGTTTGAGAATAGGAGTCTCAATCCTGAAAGGGTTTAAATAGGGGGTTTGCAAGAAACAAGAGGAACAGAGCCTGGCAGAAATAAAACAATGTATTCACTTCACTGTTGTATGTAACAACCTGCTATACAAGTGAACTCACAGTCTGTCTTAGAGAAGGTGGAAGTGTCTGCAGAAAAGAAACGGGATCCATGGGGTCATCAGGGTTAGAGCGCGCAGCCTGCTGCCTTTGCTGTTCCAAGCGCTGCTGTGCAAGCACTTCTTCCTGGATATTTGGGGGAAGTGCAGCCAAAAACTCTGGGTTCACCTCGCTCACACTGGCACTATTGTTCTCTCTGGTGTTCTCAGTCGCTCGTTGTCTTACTCGCTGAAGTCTGAAAAAATAAACAATCCATAATTTACTTGGGACCAAGTGCTCTTAAATAAAAAAGAAATTTATAACATTTAAAATAATTTAACCGAAACAAAAAATAGAATGAAAGGGAGAGAACCAAATATTACTGAACAGCAAAAGGCTCTTCCAAAAATAAAAATGCAGAATCCTACATAAAATTATGTTAACTAAACAGATTTTAATATTAACCCTTAAACTGTCCAAAAGTAGATCTACATTCGCAAGTGTAGCACTCCGAACGTAGATCTACATTCGATTTTACATTGTTTCCTATTAAAAAGATACGTAGTTCTACGTTTGGAGATCTACGCGTGCAAATGTAGATCTACGTTTGGACAGTTTAACCCTTTGAGGGTTTCAGACGTACTAGTACGGCTTACGACCCAGGGTTTTTGACGTACTAGTACGCCTAAATTCTAGCGTCCTCAAATCTAGTGGGAGAAAGCTGGAAAGCCTCCATATGAAAGAATGGGTCTATGTGGTCAGTGTGCACGGTATAAAAAAATCCTGCAGCACACAGTGCATAATGAGAAAAAAAAACTGACCGTTTTTTTGGAATAAAACAGCGACTTTGCACTGTATTTTCGTATGGTATTTATTGTTGTATTCTAGTTTTCTTGGTCTCATTTTATAGAATGGAAGGCATATCATAGAAATTGAGATGATTTTGACTGGTTTTACAAAGAAAGGTACCTTGAAATTGAGCTCAAAGTAGCAGAAATGTTCGATTTTTACCAAAGTTCAAAAGTAAACAAATCATGTAAAGCGTCCAATACACGTCAACTGGTGAGTCTAATATTCTTTTGCAAGTGCGCCAATATGATTCATACTATTTTTTACACTAATGCAGTAGTCTGTATAACAGTAAATCTTCTATTTTTTGTGAGAATAAAAATTCAAAGTGGAAAGCAAAAGAATGATGACTAATGAACAGAGGAAATGTCATTTTAGTGCCAGGAATGTATTTCTTGTTTGTTCTGGACCCTATTCGGAAATTGGCAACTTTTGAAATTTGTGTGAAATTGGCAAAATTACTAAATTCTGACCACTGTACTGGATACTTGAAATTGGTAAATGGGTGGTTTCTTGCACTCATTCAATAGAAAAAATGGAGTTCTAGCGAAATATTTATGTTTTTTGTCGACTAGTACAGTGGAACTGGCCGAAAATGGGGCTCAAAGTGGACAAAATCGCCGATCCGTAAACATCGCCGAGACCGCTAACTTCGCGAGAGCATAATTCCGTAAATTTTCCATCAAATTTCATATTTTTGGTGTCATTATGATCGGGAAAAGATTCTCTATCTTTTCATAAGAAATTTTTTTTTTTTTTAAATTTGGCCGACCCTGAGAACGAGTCTCGGAGAGGGCCTGTCGACCCTCAAAGGGTTAAGGGTTAAGAGGCAGAATTTTTCTAGGGAGTGCTATGCTTACCTTGCTTACGAATACACACCAATGACCACATGGCAGCCTATACACAACCATGGTATTAAGCAATTTTTATTTAAATAATTTTTGTAATAATGTTGGTAGAATTACCGACAATATGTAAAGTAAAAGGACACAAGTGCAACTAATGTGACATTTTATTGTGGCAACGTTTCGCTCTCCAGGAGCTTTGTCAAGCCGATACAAACAGTATATGGACACAGAGGGTATATAAAGGCTCAGTGAGGTGCAATACTAGTGTAGTAGTAGTAGTGACAAAAGTTGTAGTAGTAATACAATGTGGTAGAGCAATTAATTCATACATGAGTAAAAGGATATAAAAGCTATTACTTGGGTAACATAAAAATAGGTTGGACAAATATAGACTGGATAGAGAAGGCCTGTTTCAGTGTTCACTCTCTGTAATGTGCTTTGTGTAGTATAACAGGAGAGACTATGTGATGGCAGGGTTTACTGTTTTCAGGAGGATTCTTGCTAAGACTTCAGAGATGGTGAAGCTGCCGTTGTTTTGTTTAATTGTATTCTAAACAGCGATCAGTGCTGATTTGAGGCACTTGCGTCTGCGGAAATTAGTTTCTTTGATCATTAATTGGGTGTCCCTGAATTTCATGAGATGATTGGTGGAATATCGGTGTTGTACACAGGCATTGTTCAAGTTATAGTTCCTACATGCGTAAATGTGTTCATTAAGGCGGGTGTCGAGGTTTCTTGCTGTTTCACCTACATAAATCTTGTCACAGCCTCCACAGGGTATAGTATAAACCCCTGCATTGACTGGTTCGTGGTGCTTTGATTTTGTCACGGTTAGATCCTTTATTGAAGTGCTAGAAGCGATGGCGGCTCTGGTGTTAGCTTGTGAAAGTACTTTAGAAACGTTCAGTGCAACCTGGCTGTTGGGAAGAAATATAACTGTAGTATTGCACCTCACTCTGAGCCTTTATATACCCTCTGTGTCCATATACTGTTTGTATCGGCTTGACAAAGCTCCTGGAGAGCGAAACGTTTGCCACAATAAAATATCACATTAGTTGCACTTGTGTCCTTTTACTTTACATAAATAATTTTTAACAAGAATTAAATGGAATATACAGTAAGACACCCATATCCATGGGGGATACATTCCAAGCCTATTGTGGATATCCAAAACTGCAGATAGCAAACCTTACATACAAAATATTTTTCAATGACATGCATACCTATGATAATGTTTAACCCTTTGACTGTTTCAGGCCCCTCTCTGAAACTGTCATTCTATGTCGCTCAATTTTTGAAAAAAAAAAAAATTTTTTTTCTTATGAAATGATAAGAGAATCTTTTCCCGATGGTAATGACACCAAAAGTTCGAAATTTGGTCGAAAACTCGTGGAATTATGCTCCCGCGAAGTTAGTGGTCTGGCGACATATGCGTATCGGCGATTTCGCCGACTTTGAGCCCTATTTTCAGCCAATTCCATTGTTCAAGTTGACCAAACTCATAGCTATTTCTTTAGAACTCCATTTTATCTATCAGCTGAGTACAAGAAACCTCCCATTTACTAATTTGGACTACCCAATATGGTGGTCAGAAATTGGCAATTTGGCCAATTTCACGCAAAATAAAAAAGATGCCAATTTCAAAATAGGGTCCAGAATAAACAAGGTAGACATTCGTGGCACTAAAATAACATATGCTCTGTTCATTAGTCACATCTCTAGGCCCCTCTTATATTATTATTGCTTTCTATTTTTATTTTTTATTCATACAAAAAAATACAAAATTTACTGTTATGCAGACGACTGCATTATTGTAAAAATGGTATAAATAATATCAGTGCACTAGTGAAAGAATATTAGACTCCCAAGTTGACCTGTATTGGACGTGTGGTGTGATTTATTTACTCTTGAACATTGGTAAAAATCGAACATTTCCGCTACTTTGAGCTCAGTTTCAAGGTCGTTTTCATCGTAAAAGTAATGAAAATCATCTCTATTTCTGTAATATGTTTTCCATTTTATCACCTAAGACCATGAAAATGCGAATACAACGATAAATACTATACGAAAATACACCTCAAAGTCGGCGTTTTATTCCAAAAAAATGATCAGAGTTTTTTTTTTCTCATTACGCAATGTGTGCTGCAGGATTTTTTTTATGTGGTGCACACTGACCACACAGACCCATTCTCTCACATGTGGGCCTACCAGCTTTCTCCCACTTGATTTGAAGCCGCTAGAATTACTGAGTATATATACGTCAGAAACATTGGCTCGTAAGACGTATTTATACGTCGAAAACAGTCAAAGGGTTAATCGATAAATTATGCACAGCAAGTCAAAAATTAGTACTTTTTCACTGATGGGAAGCACTTCCTGACTTCTCTTAGACTTTGAAGAACTACTACCATCACTACTTTTGTGCTTTGTGGTCATTAATAAGCAAAATTTAAGGTTATCTTAGGGTCACAGTAAATCTGTGGATAAAAAGCACTAAAACCGAACTTTCAGATACAAGGATCCTACTGTATTTACAAATGAATAATAAATTGCTAAAAAAAATTGTAAAACAAGATTGTCTTGCTTATTTTGGAGTGATACCTGAAGAATAAAGTCAACATTTTCTGTATATTAAATAAACTATGTTTGTAATATATCAGCAAACTTTATAGAGTAAAACCAGCAAAGAAACTAGACAGTTGGACTGAAGTGCTCAACCCCCAAATGGCATAAAGCCTGATGCAACCCTTTAACCAAATATGGTGATAACATGATTTTTTTTTTTTTAAATACTTTAAAAGGATATTCATACCCTTCTTGGGTGTTTTGCACTGTGGGCTTAATTAGTAAAAAAAAAAAAAAGAAAGAAGTGACAAACAGCTGACAGAATAGTCACAATACAAAGATGGTACTATTCACACCAACCCACAAAATGGAGATGAAACCAGGCAAAAGCCTGGTTCATCTTTAGTACACAACTTGACATGAGCTTAAAAATCTAACTCTCTTCACCTTACTGAAATTTTGCCTTTCTTCCCTTTTCTCTAGCTCATGACATGACAATGGTCCAGAACAAACTGAAATGTAAGCTTGATTTTCCAATTTGTGGGTTATACCTTGGCAGAGTTTCAAGTTAACTACTCTCAGAGCCCGGCCATGGGTCAGGCTCATCCGATGCTTGCCTGATCAACCAGGCTGTTGCTGCTGAAGGTCCGCTGCCCCACATATCCATCACAGCCTAGTTGATTTGGCACCTGGTGAAGATACTTGTCCAGTTTCCTCTTGAAGGCTTCTACACTTGTTCCACCCGTTTCTGATATCTTCTGGCAAGATGTTGAATAGTCCGGGACCGCGGATGTTGATACAGTGTTCCCTTATTGTCCCCACTGCACCCCTGCTCCACACTGGGTTTATTTTACACTTCCTCCCATATTTCTCATTCCAGTATGTTGTTATGGCAGTGTGCAGATTTGGGACCAGGCCCTTTAGTACTTTCCAGGTGTATATTATGCATCTTTCTCTCTGCTCCAATGAGTACATGTTCAAGACTTGAAGGCGTTCCCAGTAATTTAGGTGCTTTACTGGCTCAATGCGAGCTGTACACGATCTCTATTTGTTCCAGCTCTGATATTTCTCCTGCTTTGAATGGGGCCATCAGCACTGAGCAATATTCTAAATGAGAGAGCACTACCAATTTGAAGAGTGTCACCATCGGCATTATTTCCCTTGTTTTGAAAGTTCTGAATTACCCACCCCGTCATCTTCCTGGTTGTTGTACTCACCTAATTGTGGTTGCAGGGGTTGAGACTCATCTCCTGGCCCCTGTTGTGATCTTTGTCTTATGTTCCTCAAAAGATAGGTCAACTGACAATTATTCCCAGGTCTTTTACATGTTCCTTTCGTTCTATTTGGCGATTCTTTTGAGTTTTACATGTACTGTTCCTTTTGAGTTCTTCATTCTTCCTATACCTAAGCAGCTGGAACTCATCCCCACTGAACATCATGTTTTCTCCACTGCCCACTGGAAAACCCTGCTTATGTCTTCCTGTAATTTTTTAGTGTCCTCTACCATAGTGACTTTTATGCTTATTTTAGTCACCTACAAATGATGATACAAAAGTGTGATGGGTATTTTGATCTATGTCTGCTATAAGGATGAGAAACAGCAGAGGTGCCAGGACAGTGCTTTGGGGCACTGAGCTTCTGACCTCGCTGATGCTGGATCTTGCTCTGTTTACTACTATTCGTTGTGTTCTGTGTTAGGAACCCGAAAATCCATCTGCCTACCTTCCCCATAATGCCCCATGGCCCTCATTTTGTGAGCTATCACTCCATGATCGCAATTGTGGAAAGATATGCAGAGGTACAAAAAAAAGCCTTGCAATGAGAGGTTACCTATTACAAACAGGTTCAGTCTTGTGGCCTGTGCACCTGTTTGTAACCATCACAGAAAGGCAACTCAAGGTAACTAAGGTTCACAAATAGGCTGCAGTAAAAATTTAATTTACTTTGTGAAAGATTATTAACAGACTAAACACTTACCTAAGCTGTTCAGCAATTACTTCTTGTCTCATATCTTCAGGTAAGGCAGCAAGGAAGCTCGGGTCCACACCCTCGGGAATCTCTATGTCTCCAAGAATGGCGGAATAGTCTGGCCGGGTGGTGGAGGACCCTGATGGTCCAGCCTCGCTCTCTCTTCCACCTCTTGAACTTGAAAGACAATACAATGTAGTAGAAGTGACTGGTACAAAGGGCAAGAAGCAAAGATATGGGAAAAGATAGGGTTTAGAGACAGTAAAGATGAGATATGGGTTGAAAGGAAGGAAAGGCAGAGGGTAAAAATGAAGAGAGGGACAGAAAAGAGGGGCAGGGAAAGAAGTGAAGGAAAGACAAGGGGAAAGAGAAGATTGGAAATGTTAAGGAAGAAAGGGAGGGGGGGGGGGAAGAGTTGGAAACAGTTATGATAAGGTCAGAAAGAGTGAATTTTAAAGAAATTTATTTTCATCAATGGCAAGTGCAAAACCCATAGAGGTCGTGGCACCTATGAAATAGGAGTCTCCAGGTTCTTGATACAGCTCCTTGTATCAAGAGCCTCTCGAGGAAAGAAAGGGAATACATGCTGTGGTATATTTGTATTTGAGATCACTGGGCCACTTAAGATTTTATATTATTGCATTTCATTCAATACTTAATTTAAATTTAAACGAAATAAAGATGAGGTGCTTAATATTCTGTACTTCTGAGTAATCTAAGCAACTGTAGAAATAACAGTTTAGGCACCATTAACCTAACAATTCAATAGATCATGCAAATAAATTTTAACAATAGTCATAACTGTGCCTGGAATAAGAGTTGTTCTTCCATAGTTTAGCCACGTGGGGCAAGATGTTGTTTGGTGTACCTGGAGTTTACCTGGAGAGAGTTCCGGGGGTCAACGCCCCCGCAGCCCGGTCTGTGACTAGGCCTCCTGATGGATCAGAGCCTGATCAACCAGGCTGTTGCTGCTGGCTGCACGCAAACCAACGTACGAGCCACAGCCCGGCTGGTCAGGAACCGACTTTAGGTGCTTGTCCAGTGCCAGCTTGAAGACTGCCAGGGGTCTGTTGGTAATCCCCCTTATGTATGCTGGGAGGCAGTTGAACAGTCTCGGGCCCCTGACACTTATTGTATGGTCTCTTAACGTGCTAGTGACACCCCTGCTTTTCATTGGGGGGATGTTGCATCGTCTGCCAAGTCTTTTGCTTTCGTAGTGAGTGATTTTCGTGTGCAAGTTCAGTACTAGTCCCTCTAGGATTTTCCAGGTGTATATAATCATGTATCTCTCCCGCCTGCGTTCCAGGGAATACAGGTTTAGGAACCTCAAGCGCTCCCAGTAATTGAGGTGTTTTATCTGTTATGTGCGCCGTGAAGGTTCTCTGTACATTTTCTAGGTCAGCAATTTCACCTGCCTTGAAAGGTGCTGTTAGTGTGCAGCAATATTCCAGCCTATCAGCTATTTTTCCTAGTAACAGTAAATTTCATTTGATATCAAACACTCATGACTCACGAAATCGTAATGACACGATTGCAAACAAACCATACCACGGGCAGGATTTGAACCCGCGGTCAGAGACTCTCTGACCGCGGGTTCAAATCCTGCCCGTGGTATGGTATTTGGTGACAAAATGAAATACAGCCTCTCCTCACTTAACAACGAAGTTACGCTCATACGACCACGTCAGTAAACGAATTCATCACTAAGTGAGGAGAGGCTGTATGTATTTACTCAATGAATGAGCCGTTTCTTTTGCAAATTTGACTGCTCTGTGAAGGATGAGCATTGTATCACCAAGATTTGCGATCTTAAATAATTCTTAAATATTTTTAACATACAGAAAAGAAAAATAATTAAAATCTCACTCTTGTTGTGGTCTGTCTTGGCTATCTCTCCTTAGGTTTGATGGCATAACTAGAACTGGAAGTGAAGAGGTCATAGTTTGATCCCCAGATTGATCTTGAGAGTCCTGTTGCATAGCCATGCTTGGATCTTCCCATGCTTCTCTTGGGGGCATACCAGGCAGTGGTGGGGTTGTGAGTGTGTCACCTGATGATGCTAGTAACTCTGGTGACTGACTGGGGTACTCAGGAGGACTTACTGACATTGGAGTCTCTTCTTGGGTTACTAAACTTTCAACATTGTCATTAGATATAGCCTGAGGTCCCACTGTAGGTAAGGGAGAAGCTACTACCATCTCTGCATCTGTGACAGTAAGTGTGGAGGGTGTCACACTACTTCCTAATACTGAAGCATTAGCTGGTGCCAAAAGTGCTGTTGGAGTTGGCGTAGAAGTTGTTGGGGAAGGAAATGGGGGCAAGCTGCTTACACACGTAGTTTGTGGGGTGGCTGGAGCTGAGGGCACTCCTGCTAAGGCTCCACCAATAGCTGGGATAGAGGAAATAGGGGGTTCTTGTAGTGGTAATGTGGGAGCACCAGATGATACTGGAGACAGGAGTGTTAGTAGTCCCGAAAAGCTAGGTGTTGTAGCTTGTGGTCTAGAAGAGGAGGCCAAAACAGATTCCACAATAGATTCTGCTATAGATGCTCTGCTCAAAATGGTGGCCTCTTGACCAGAAGTTTCTGGGTTTGGCGTTTCTTGCCCATCAGCTACACGATTGTTATCAGGAGCCTCGCCCATCTCTGCATCACCTGTAAGATTAAGGGAAAAATATTTAAGTTTTGTTATATAAATGAGACTATCCATATATATATGAAGAAATTTTTTTTTCAAAAGCCTAATCAGAAAACCAAATTTAGAGTTGTGTATTAAAATTAGAATGAAGGCATGGAGTTGGCATTAACAACATCCTCCCTCCTCTATCTTAGTGCATGTATATGCTGATTAGTGACCTGAGAGAATAGAGGGGATGAAACTGCTCAATTAACAATCATTTACTCTGACTTTCACACTTTAAATCCATTCTCCTAACTAAATGGTATTCAATGTCACCATGACAGGAGCAGTCCCAGACTCCCCCCCCCCTCCCCAATAACCTATACCTAATTCTGGTATACACGTGGGCCCCACTTTACAGCACGTCGCTAATGCAGCAGTTTTCAGTTATACCCATTTTTCATTTATTCAGACTTCCTACGACAAATATATTAACCACTCGCTATAAGCTAGGGATGAAAATATTTTAAGGAAAGTAATGCATGTACAGTAGGGCCCCGCTTTACGGCGTTCCGCTAATACAGTCATTTCAAATTATGACCAAAACTCGCTATACGGCTCCCACCACCTGACTTTCTAATACAGTCACTGCGCCCCACCCGGTTTGTTTACATTCTCTGAGAGATCCATAAGCACTAAGTCTATTATGTCTGGAAACTCCAAAATTTCAAGTGTTTTTAAAGTTATTTCATATTTTATATATACTCTGATAATTATACTACTTATGTATACCCTGCCTCAGTGGGAGACGGCTGACTTGTTGAAAAAAAAAAATGTATACCTGTACCTAAATAAACTTACATACTGTACTGGCATGCAGGTTCACATTAAAATCAGTAAGAGTGTCTATCTCGAGACGTCATATTAGTAATGATAACCACCACTGAGTCTTATTTAAATGTCGTATATTACATTAATATACACATTTTCATTAATCCATGACATTTTTTTCAAAATTATATAACAAACACAATACATAACATATAAAGATGATAAATACACCCCACAGTAGAATAAATAAACAAATATGAGATGTGGTAGCTAGACGACTTCCACAAATGACGCCATATTAGAAATAATAATAATAATCACCGAGTCTCATTAAATGTCGTATATTACGTTAATATACACATTTTCATTAATCCATCCATGATATTTTTTTTTCAAAATTATATAATAAACACAATACATAACATATAAAGATAATAAATACACCCCACAATAGAATAAATAAGCATAAATATGAGATGTGGTAGCCAGATAACTTGGTACAAGTGATGGCAAGAATAATATTTTCTCTAGTCTAACGTAAGAGAAAATGTGTTACTGGGGGGTAACTGTAGAAAATTATTCCTTTCGTTTGTATGCAAGTTTATTCAGGTATACACAAATACAGTTACATTTTATTATCATACATAATAGCATGTGTAGAGAACCTAGGATAACCCAAAAAAGTCAGACAGTGACTTATTTCCATTGCCTTCACTCAGAGCGTCATTTCTTCTAAAAATGGTGTTACATGAGAATGGCAGTATTCTTCTTTATTTTTCTACCGTATCAGTGTAGAGACAACTTGTACACAATGTAACTTGTACACAAACCAGACGTGTACACTTCGTTTACAAAACTTATGTTCGCCTGGTTTGTTTACATAACTCTGTGTCTGTCCTCTCTCATGTACTCATTCTCTCTCTCATTTATTCATTTACTCACCCCTGACCCTACATTAAGACTACAAATATTTTAAGGTAATTGAGGGAACTGTACGTATATGCATTTTATCGCTCTGGGATGTTTAAATATCATAGAATAGTTTGTGTGGGTGGAATGGCTGGTATGGTAGCTCAACTGGCTACCATACATACCACACTTGATTTCTTACAATAAATGCTACTTGTCTCACCTTAGATTAAGACTACAAATATTTTAAGTAATGAGTGAACTGTATATGCATTCTATCGCTCTGGGATGCTTAAATGTAATAGAACATTTTGTGTAGGTGGGGTGGCCTGGTATGGTAGCCCGGCTGGCTACCATACATACCACACTTGATTTCTTACAATAAATGCTACTTGTCTCACCCTAGATTAAGACTACAAATATTTTAAGGTAAGTAATGAGTGCACTTTGTGTCTATGGTACTTTTTTATTGTTTTTTGATGCCTAGTTCTATTGCTAACTTAATATGTTAGTGTAAACTTGTTATCTAGTATTTCTTCTTCTTTCAACAAACCGACCGTAACCCACCGAGGCGGGGTGGCCCTAAAGGAAAAACGAAAGTTTCTCCTTTTACTAGCCCCTTGCTCCCGGCATTTTAGTTGCCTCTTACAATACACATGGCTTATGGAGGAAGAATTCTGTTCCACTTTCCCATGGAAGTATTTGTATGCATTTATAAGGGGGAAAAAAAAGGGTGTTCCACTTTACGGTGGTAGCCTGGAACCTAACCTGCCGTATAAGTGGGGCCCTACTGTACTGTATATGCATTTTTTAGGCCTCATTCTGTTGCTCACTTAATAGTGTAAACATATCAGGCTTTTATATGCATTTGGAAGTGAAAAAAGGCTATGTTTTGCTTTACAGTGATTTTTGCTTTACAGCAGTAGCCCAGATCCGAACCTACTGTATAAGCAGAGCCTTCCTGTACTACAGGGTAAAGAGATGTTTAAGTGTAAATTAGAGTTTTTTAAGTGGAGTGATATAGAGGACAAAGGAAAAGTTTGAGTGATGTGTTGAGGTGTTACTTGGGTGAAAGGGAGCCATGAGAGCTTGGAAAGGGGAATAGGAGCAAATTACAGGAGTGTGAGGTGCAGTAGAGCTTTAGGAGTGAGTTGGAGGATGAAAGGATTCGGGAAGGGTGCTTATGGGAATTGTAAACATTTAGAACAGCCCTTCTAGAAGCTAGCCATATGAAAGAGGAGAGTAGACCCAAAAGCTGGTGCTCCACAGCATCAGGAGATAAAAGCTCAACACCCCAACAGCCCAGAAGTTGGAGCTTATTACCAGAAGAGTTGTTAGGCAAAAGTTTGAACTCGGCTTCCTTAATACAGACAAATACAATGTAATATGATTCTTTTATTGATGTTTCATCCCCAGTGGGTTTTATCAGGTCAAACTGATCTACTTGTAACTTGATAAAGCCCAATGTGTGGATGAAATGTCATCACTATAAAATCCACCACGGGTGAAATGTGGCCGACAAAGGATCCCATTATAGTAGTCTCTTCAGTGCATCAATATTTTATACAATTCATTCTATCCTTACATACCTAGAGCTAGCATTCAAATCCCTCAGAGCTAAATTCTTAAGTCACTTTGTTATGACCAGAGACTGGAATTCAACCCACTCAAACATAGCTAAGTAATGGGGCAAGGAGCTGTACCTTAGCACCCTCAACATTGAAGTTGGAGAACTCTTATAAACAGCCAATGGGAAGTAATTTTTTTTTTTTTTATACTAGATTTTGACAGTAGGCAGTTAGCAACCATCTGAGGAGGGACTCTCAGCTGTCACAGGAATGCAAAATGGAAGCATCTATAAAGATTTTTTTCTCACAAACACTTAGCAGTCATCACTGTACTTTCCTGTGTGATTAACAGTTTTTACTCCTGTACTAATTCCTTTGCAATTTGTGAAGCTTGGTCCAAGACTGAATCACATGGAAAATGGGAAGGAGACAGGGAGAAGAAAGGGGTGGACAAAAGACAATGATTCCTGAAACTATTAACCCTTAAACTGTCCAAACATAGATCTACGTTCACTCACGTGGTACTCAGAATATTTTGAAAAATAATGTTTTTTTTTTTTCTTTTAAAATGAAGAGTACATTTTTCTAAATGTTATAGGACTAAAAAAAAATTTTTTAGGCTCTGGATGCTCACCTGACAGCAACATCGATGCCTGCCAATTGCAGAAGTGTTGCCGATATACCTTTTTTTCTCGTTTCTATTTTAATTTATATATTTTTATGTTCCGATAATTGCAATTTATAACAGTTCTTGTAATTTCATAGCCAATCTTTGTTCTGACACTAATATTAGGTACTGAAATAGTGCTCAAATAGTCACAATCACAGTGACAGGTGAACATTACACTTTTTTTTTTTCAACAAGTTGGCAGTCTTCCACCGAGGCAGGGTGACCCAAAAAGAAAGAAAATCCCCAAAAAGAAAATACTTTCATCATCATTCAACACTTTCACCTCACTCACACATAATCACTGTTTTTGCAGAGGTGCTCAAAACACAACAGTTTAGAAGCATATACGTATAAAGATACACAACATATCCCTCCAAATTGCTAATATCCTGAACCCCTGCTTTAGAGTGCAGGCATTGTACTTAGATTTTCCAGGATACAAGTCTGGCTATATAAAAATAACCGGTTTCCCTGAATCCCTTCACTAAATATTACCCTGCTCACACTCACACTTGGGTTATTTCTTATTGTCTAGAAATATATACATGTACAAAGTATTTATAGGTCCCAGCAATGTTTTAGATACCCTGGTATATACCATGAAGTATGTTGTTAAGAAAGGCATCCCTACACTGTTGACAGCCCAGTGACATTTGATAAATGCCCACTGCTCCAGCTAACCCTCATTGTATTTGTTATCACTGTTACACACAAACATGTCTTGTCTGTCTATTTATCTGGGTCTGTGTCTGTCTGTCTTTATCTGCCTGTCTGTCTGTCTGCCTATCTATCTGTCTGCCTGTGTCTGTCTCTGCTTATCTGTCTTTCTGTCTGCCTGGAGTATACTTATATCAAACTTCTTGAAGAATGGTGCTATGACATCTGTTATCAGCTCAGTGACATTTGATAAATGGGTGCTGGGGGAACTCTGGCTTTATTTGTTTCCACTGATATGGACAAACATGTCTGTCTGTCTCTGTCTGTCCGTCTATCTGTATCTTTGCCTGGAATTTTTGGGTTATCCTAGGTAATTTACACTATGTATAATAACTGTATTTGTGTGTACATGTGAGACAGATATAGACAGAGACAGCCAGAAACAGCCAAAGCAAGCCAGCCAGCCAAATACATAAGAACATAAGAAAGAAGGAAAGAAGGAACACTGCAGGAGGCCTACTGGCCCATGCAAGGCAGGTCCATGCCCCCCCCCCCGGCTTAGACCAATGACCCACCTAGTCATGTCACATCCATTGAAGGAAGGAGCATGACATCAGGCCTTGTAACATAAGCTAGTCAGGTCCAACTCTCACCCACCCACACTCACTCGTGTATTTATCTAACCTATTTTTACTTTCCTCTTAAAATGGGAGTGTTAATGTGACATGGCATCAGTGAATCCCTGATGTTTGCCATGCTATTTGCTCTAGCTGGCACTCAGTTGGACTGGTGCTCCCACAAGGCACTAACTGCTCCCAGATTTTTTTAATAGTGCACACACTGAGTGCACAGACCCATTCTCTCATGTCTAGGCAACTCAAGCCTATTGTGCCAAATTTGAAGGAATGAAAAATTAAAGGATCTACATTTGGAGCACTACGCGTGAAACGTAGATCTACGTTTGGACAGTTTAAGGGTTAACAAATAAAATGCTTGAAAATTTTTAAATGTTTGCGCAATATAAATTTAAATCAACTGCTAAACAAATCAACCCTTATGCAACATTATATTTATACATATGAAATATAAAAAGTGGCTCAAAGGTAATTCTGTTTTTTTTTTTTTTTTAAACTGGCAGTCTCCCACAAAAGGCACGTGACCATCAGGAGAAACTTGATCATTCATTCATTCATTCAACATTGTCAAAAGTGCACAGAGATCACAATTCACACAGCTCTCTGAACTACAGCATCCCCCCCCCTTTACCTTCTTCAGAGTGCAGGCAGTGTACTTCACCTCCAGAACTAGTCCAGCCAATCAGTCGCCTTGAATCCCTTCATGTTACCTCCTGGTCCAACAGTACATCAAGCCATAAAATCCACTTATCCCCACTCCAATGCCCCACACACACAAGCCTCCTGGAAGCTCAAGCATCTAGTACTGAAAACCTTCCAACTATTCCTAGGATGACCCCTACCCTTCCTTCTATCCATCCTAGATTTATACATTATCTTGGTCATCATATTCTACTACACATTTTCTAAATGCCTAAACCACCTCAACACTCAATTACAGGTACTCCTCTACTCATGATGCTTCGACGTACAATATTTCAGCTTTATGGTGCATAAGTAATTGCTTTGGAGATGAAGCTAGAGATAATTACTCAGCATGAAGGCGGGAAGTCCGTAACTTTTATTAATTTATTTACTTTTCAATACTGGCATTTTTTTTTTTAACAAGTTGGCCATTTCCCACCGAGGCAGGGTGACCCAGAAAGAAACAAAATACCCAAAAAGAAAATGCTTTCATTATCATTCAACACTTTCACCTCACTCACACAATCAGTTTTTGCAGAGGTGCTCAGAATGCAACAGTTTTGAAGCATATACGTATAAAGATACACAACATATCCTTCCAAACTGCCAATATCCCAAACCCTTCCTTTAAAGTGCAGGCATTGTACTTCCCATTTCCAAGACTCGCTTCCCATTTCCAGGACTCCTGTCAGGCTGTATAAAATAACTGGTTTCCCTGAATCCCTTCACTAAATATTACCCTGCTCACACTCCAACAGCTAGTCAGATCCCAAATACCATTCATCTCCATTCACTCCTAACACGCTCATGCACACTTGCTGGAAGTCCAAGCCCCTCACCCACAAAACCTCCTTTACTCCCTCCCTCCAACCTTTTCGAGGATGACCCCTACCCCGCCTTCCTTCCCCTACAGATTTATACGCTCTCTATGTCATTCTACTTTGATCCATTCTCTCTAAATGACCAAACCACCTCAACAACCCCTCTTCAGCCCTCTGACTAATACTTTTATTAACTCCACACCTTCTCCTAATTTCCACACTCCAAATTTTCTGCATAATATTTACACCACCCTTAGACAGGACATCTCCACTGCCTCCAGCCACCTCCTCGCTGCAGCATTTACAACCCAAGCTTCACACCCATATAAGAGTGTTGGTACTACTATACCTTCATACATTCTCTTCTTTGCCTCCATAGATAACATTTTTTGTCTCCACATATACCTCAACGCACCACTCGCCTTTTTTCCTTCATCAATTCTACGATTAACCTCATCCTTCATAAATCCATCCACTGATACGTCAACTCCCAAATATCTGAAAACATTCACTTCTTCCATACTACTCCTCTCCATCTGATATCCAATTTTTCTTTATCTAAATCATTTGATACTCTCATCACCTTACTCTTTTTCTATGTTCACTTTCAACTTTCTACATTTACACAGTGCTATTTACTGGTATTTACAGTAATTATATGTTTATTTACTTATTCAGTGACAGTAGTTATTTATTTACTTATTTAGCACACATTCGCATTACAATATTTTTGACTTACGATGGGTTCATCATAATTTAACTCCATTGTAAGCTGAGGTGCACTTGTATACCTTTGGTAATCCAACACTATCTTTTAATTTCAAATCACTGATTATTTGTTCTTTACTTCAACAGCATTATCCTACCAAGGCAAGGTGACCCAAAGGAAAATCATTAGCATGTTATAGTAGTAGACAATGTTAAGTTTTTCTACTTACTACTCTGAAGCAAAAGAGGGCCATGGGAACTGTCACTGGAGGTTGTTGGAGGCTTGTTTGCTTCTTGCTCTTTTTTCTTTTTGTCTCTCTCAGATTGTTCAGCATCTCTGTACTTCTCTAAAACTGCCATTAATGCTGGCTTGACAACTGTGAGGAAGAGAAAAAAAATTAAGTACAGTCTGCATGTTAAAAGTATATTCTTATGTAACACTACTACTACTACTTTCTCAACAAAATGTATGTTCAAGAAAATAAAATACATCCATATGCCATAACCACTGCCCATTTTGAAAATTATTTCTGTATAGACTTAAATGCTTACTGTAGCTAGTTCTGAAAATTTATCCTACTCTAAAATATAGTCAGAGGCCAAATTTCATTAGTGAGTGCACAAACAAGACTATTCTGTCTGGTAAATAAGCCTACATGACACTCATCCCAGCAGGTCAGTTCACTCCTTAAGTTTAATGGTGCAGTGAACTCCTGGATTAAGTCATCGGAATAAGTAACATTTTTTCGTCAAAATATTGGCTCGGTGAACATCACTAAACTCTGTATAAGTCATTCATCTGGAACATGTCCACGTGACCTGAGCAGCCCTGGCACTCCATGTACAGCCAGTGAGGACGATCCCAAGTGTTCATACGATACATTTTGTATTATTCCATTCTTTTTAGTGCTTGTAACTGCTAAATAAGCCACTATGGGCCCAAAGAAAGCTTCTAGTGCCAGCCAGCCCTTTGGTAAAGGGCTGAGAAAGAGAGTGTGCCTTTTTCTGTGATTCTGCAATATGTACGATTCTAAAGCAGCAGGAGTCGATAAAGGCTATAGCGCCAGCCAGTGATAAAGTGTAGCATTAATAGTGTAGCAAGTACGTTAAGTAAGTAATCGATAGAAAAAGGACAGCATGAAACTGACTCCTCCATTGTTGTTGGAGGTATATAGGGCTACTGACTAACACTGCCACCTTCACCACCATGTAAGGCTTATCTTTTAGTGGCCCTTATACACCCAACAACAAACATACACTCGTGATATTCTTAATGCCATATTTTATTCATTCTAGAGTATATATCATGTTTCTATGTCATTAATATTGTTCATTATGTCTTATTAGATGAATTGTGCTAGATAAATAAGCCGTAGAGCTGATATTAGTATCATATTGAAGGACCATCTTGTCCAGTCTCCCAAAACAATTTCTAACATATGCCAGAAACAGACCTCTGGAACACTTTTTTGAGTGACAGGGGTCCAGTGACTCAAGCTGGTCGTAGCGGCATTAAAAAACAAAGAAGGGAAGTAATCCAGGATAAGGACTTAGTACTTGAAGTCTTCATGGAAGGGGATTTCCCTTCCAAACAATTGTAAACTCCTCCATCCTCTCCCCTCCACCCATCTTCCATACATCACCATGTCTTCAATAAAGGTAAGTTTAATATTATTGTTTTATTCTTCATGTATCATTGTTTTCTGTGTAGGTAAATGTATATTTCATGTAGAAAACATTTTTTTTAATACTTTTGGGTGTCTGAAATGGATTAACTGGATTTCCATTATTTCTTATTGGGAAAATTAATTTGGAGTAAGTCAGATTCGGGATACGTCACTCTCTCTGGAATGGATTAATTACGTAATCTGGGGGTCCACTGTATTCAAATCCACTCCTGCAATGTGTACATTTACCATTTTTCCTGCTCACAGGTTGGAGAAGGCAATGACCAGAAGTTATTCACAGTAATAGACTTTTCACACCAACTTTCACTAAGCAGCTCAAATCAGGAATGACACTACCAAAATCTCTATAGCAATATATTACTTTTAGTGACCCAGACAACAACTGGGAGAAGCACACACTGGATGAAGAACACCCTTACTGCTACATAGCTTCAGCAATGCAATAGTATAGTGGGGGAGAAGGAAGTGGATAGTTGGGAGTTCAAGAAGAGGGAGATGGGGAAACCTATAGCATAAATATTCATTACTTCCCCAGTAAAATTTATCTGTATATGTATTCTATGATACCCATGCACAGTAAGTTTAAGACTTGTAAATTATTACTTCACAACAGCATTACCTGTGACAGCATCATGCATGGAGTCTGCCTCAAGAACCCTAGTTTCTTCAGTCCAACGAGAGAGTGCATTAGGAACATTAGAAAGGGATGCAGATGATCCACCATTGTTCATCACCGTTCCACCATGATCCTGCAATTTCATGGAAAGTTCCATCAGTTATTTTTTTTTTCACTGCATACTGACCACAGCCCAAGGTTTGGTGCTTGTTCTGAAGAAATAAAAACCTACACGAACATTAAATACAACAAAAAGATTCTATTTAAAACAATACAAATTAGTAAATCCTGACCTACAAGAACACTAATACACATGCAAGATGTGACACATGGATGATGGAATGTAATGTGGTTAAATGTGTCTGTGGGAGATGGGCTAGTGTCAAAATAAAAAAATCAAATGCCGCAAAATGAAAATATTCTGGAGATATGAATACATTTTTTAAAATATATAAAGATATCAACCTAGAAGGCACTGTCATCATGATATTGCCACTAGTTTGATCACTTAATAAAGCTCCCTCACATAAATGTATATAAAAAAAAGAGGTACAGTACAGTGGACCCCCGCTTAACGATCACCTCCAAATGCGACCAATTATGTAAGTGTATTTATGTAAGTGCGTTTGTACGTGTATGTTTGGGGGTCTGAAATGGACTAATCTACTTCACAATATTCCTTATGGGAAAAAATTCGGTCAGTACTGGCACCTGAACATACTACTGGAATGAAAAAAGTTCGTTAACCGGGGGTCCACTGTACTTACACAGAATAACATGTTATGTATATTAAACCATGACTAAAGTTTTAAACAAATCAGAACAAGGGCCTAAATAAAAGCAAAGTAATAGGTATTAAAAAAAAATTACCCACCTGCATTTCAATAAATTCATCCGGGTCAGGGGGCATCAATCTGACATCAGGATTGGTGAAGAGTACCTGAGATGCCTCTCGCAAATTTGAGGAGAGCTGGAGAACATCACGATGACTAGGTCCCAGTAGTCTGTGCAACAAAACTTGTCTATTATCATCACAAACAACACATGCATGCAACTCATTACAATTAGTTTACAGCAAGCTGTTACCAACAACTTGTGCTGTATTTTAATGTTATAAATATACATCTAGCTCATCCCCATCGTTGCTTGTACTGGTTTGTTTAACAGATTTCAGGAAACTAAATTTGAATGTGAAATTTTTTTCACACACCCAGTACAGCCTCTCCTCACTTAACGACGAAGTTCCATTCCTAACGCCTCGTAGGTAAACGAATTCATCACTTAGTGAGGAGCATACTATAATGGTAATGGGCTTGTGTCAACCGTCTTTGATATTGTTTTAATGCCACCTTTGCACCATTTATAAAATTTCTGGTATATTTTTAAATGTTTATACAGCAGTGTACTGTATACTGTAATAAACAGAATAGATGAAATCAGCTCTAATATACATTATTTAGGTATGCATACTCGTCAGACAACCCATCGTAAGTCCGAGGCATTGGTAAACGAGTACTTCGCTAAGCGAGGAGAGGCTATATTTAACCACACTGGCAGTTTCCATACCATGAAAAAGTGACCCACAGGTGTGAGGGAAAAGTAGGTGTAAGTGGGGTTAAGGTTGTTCGGGCAACCAGGAACCATTAGTTACGTCGCGTGCACCCCCCCCCCTCCTCTCTGGCGGGCTGGGGCGAAACTAGTTCCTGGTGTCCGATTTGTTAGTTTCTACTCCTGGTAATATTGACCTTACCTGGTGTGGGTTGAAGTTTGGAGAGTCACTTCACCTCCACTCTTCTCCTAATCAGGTAGGGTGATATACCAGGAGTATTACTGTTTGTTTCTTTATTTTGTTTGCTGGTTACCAGTAATGATTTTGGCATTTATCATTCTTTTTCTTTCTTAAATGTTATATTATCATGACTATGGGTAACCAGTTTATTTTTTTCTTATTACCAGCTCTGTTCCTGGCATGGTCTTCCAGGATAGACGCCAGATAAAGGAGCAAGACGTGTGTTAATAATACTTATTAACATTATTCTACTACTACTGGCCCTTACCTATTCTACTTGTGCTCCATCCAAGTGGTAGGAGATTCCAGAACATCGGATTATTACCATCTGCTCAGGATAACCTACATAAATAACATCAGAGGAACTATCCAGGGCCATACCTACTCCTGCCCAACTACAAGAACTGAAGGCCATTTTTTTTTTATTATATTTAAATTTTAAGTAAAATTCTCAAAAATCATTATTCTCATTTTTCCTAAGTTATTTCTTTATTTATTTATTTTTCCATTATTTTCTTTTGTTCAGTTGGAAGGCGTTCCACTGACAATGGCGACCTTGCCAGGATACGACTCTCGAAGCAACATCGTCCTGATGGTTCAACTGGTTGTGAGTATAACATTTAAGATAGAAAAGGGTGAGTTAGTTGAGGTGTCAAGTCATTACTGGTAGTCTGGTTGACTTACCGTTGTTTGGTTCTAGGGTTCGGTTTAGAAGTTTACCTATTTGGTGGACCTGGGGAACTTTGATAATAACCCCTCCTGTGTGAACCGTGTGTGTTTTGCTTAGTGAAGGCTATTGAGCCCACAAGTGTATTCTTCCAGGGAGAAATATTTATTTCATTTTCTACTTTGGGAAGTTTAAAGTGTGCGGACTGTGTCCCTCTTTTGTAACAGACGTTACTGTTAATTTTAATTAAGTCAGTTGAAGTTGGGTGCGTAATATTTCTTTTTACAAGATGGATTCTTTAGATTTCTGGTTGAAAGCTGGAAAGGAAATGGGATTTACTGGACAAAGCCTTGATAATTACATTACTGCTAAAATGGCTATTGAAAAGAAAGAGGAACAGGAAAGACTAGCTCGAGAAAAGAAAGAGGAACAGGAAAGACTAGCTCGAGAAGAGAAAAGACTAGCTCGGGAAGAGAAAAAGGAACAGGAAAGACTAGCTCGAGAAGAGAAAAAGGAACAGGAAAGACTAGCTCGGGAGGATAAAATCGAACAGGAAAGGATAGCTAGAGAAGACAGAGTTCAGGCAAGAGAGGTAGCCTTCAAAATGAAGGAAATTGAGTTAGAACAATCAAGGTTGGAATTAGAAGCCAAGAAGATAGAACTATCTAAGCAGAAAATAGATGAAGGGGTTTTAGAATACCCTTCCCAAGAACCTAATATTAGGATGCCACAAATACCACCTTTCTCAGAACAAGATGACATTGCGGCATATATTATAGATTCGAGAGTAACTGCTACTCTCTGTGACTGGCCAGTAGATTCTTGGGCTACTAGGCTTGGCTTACTACTGTCAGGTTCAGCATTAAACGTCTATTCCACTCTACCCCTCTGATGTTATTTCTAGTTATAGCCTGCTGAAGAAGCTATACTACAGGCTTTCAAAAAAAACTACTCATCATTACAGGTCGGAGTTTAGACACATTAAAATAACTCCTCATCAAAATTACATGCAATTCTTAACAACACTTTTCAGATTATTTGATTCGTGGATTGATAGTGCTGAGGTTGACCACGATTTCGAATCTTTACGAGACCTGATGGTAAGAGATCAATTCCTTTCTTCTGTAAACTCTGACTTACGAATATTCATTAAAGAAAGAAACATTCATACGGCTGCGGAAATGGCACAAGCTGCTGATATATATGCGTGCGCTCATAATAACTACCCTAAAGAGCGTAGCAGATATAAGCCTGTTGTGCCTAAGCAATCTGAGGGATCCAAACCCTCCGTACCTAAGAATTCCACGGCCTTCACAGTAAAGTGTTTCAACTGTAATGAGTGGGGTCATAGACGTCCCGACTGTCCTAGGAAAAAAGGTGAAAATGTCGGTAAATGTTTCACGGAATCAAACATAAACGCACCTTTTAGTGAAGGTACAGTCAATGGTATGAATGTGTCAACCATTCTTAGAGACACTGGATGTTCCTGTATTGTTATCTCAAGTAAGCTTTTCCCTAACCTAGATTCTTCACGTTATAAGTCCACTAAATTAACTGACTATTTAGGAAGAAGCGATTCTTTTCCAACAGTCAGATGTTTCGTGAGGTGCAAATGGTTCTCAGGATGGGTAGATGCCGTAGTTGCCCCGATAACCTCATGTTCTGTTTTGGTTGGGAACATACAAGGGGCTACTTTCCCATCTGAGAAGGACTGTTTGGAATTTGGAGTTTCCAAGGAAGGGTTAGAACCTAATATCTCTGTTTCTTCACAGATAGTTCCAGATGAGATTCAGTTGGATAACCTAAATCAGAGAGCTGATGGTTACAAAACTCCGTTAACACCTTTAGTAAGTCAGTCACTTGAACTGGACAACGCAGACACCAGTGGAAAACTACGTGTGGCACAATCTATACAACAACTAGACTCAATTAACGTCCTTACCAGAGCTCAGTCTAAGGTAAAACCTATCCACCCATTAGTTCTTTCCAAAGGAAAGCCAATCGAGCTGTCTCATATAGATTTAGAGGGTCTTCAAAAGACTTGTCCTTCCTTAGAGGAATCTCGGAAGTTAGCTTTAAATGGCAAGGTGACCCAGAGAAAGAAATTTTCTTACAAGTTTGAGTTCAAACACGATCTTTTGTACAAGACTATAGTGTCTGCAGACAAACCCAATGACGTTGGTCGAAGCCTGTTAGTCATTCCGCAGGATTGCCGTGAAACCATTTTAAAGATTTCTCATGACTTGCCAGTCTCTGGCCATTTTTCACATACGAAGACCTATAATAAAATCAAGGACCTATATTTTTGGCCTAGCATGTCCTCTGACATCTATAAGTACTGTAGATCATGTCACGTATGTCAACTTTCCACGCAGAAGGGTAGAACTAGGAGAGTTCCTATGGTAAAGATGCCAATTTTCTCAGTCCCTTTTGCAAGGGTTGCCGTAGATATAGTTGGTCCTATCACACCTCGCTCATCAGGAGGTCATAAATATATTTTAACTATGATTGACTATGCATCCAGCTTCCCAGAGGCGGTACCCTTAAAATCCATTACGTCCATAGAAGTCGCAGAAGCCTTATTTTCTATTTTTTCACGTGTAGGTATACCTCGTGAAATTCTGTCGGATAAAGGGGCACAATTCACTTCAGAATTAATGGAGCACGTTTATCAACTTGTGGGTGTTAAACCTTTTCACTACACCTTACCATCCGATGTGTAACGGAAGAGTGGAGCGACAACATGCCATCCTAAAGTCAATACTAAAAAAGCTATGCATTCTTAAACCAACGGACTGGCATAGATTTTTACCATGTGCTCTTTTCGCAATGCGCGAGATTCCAAGTGATTCCCTTGGTTATTCCCCTTTTGAATTGCTTTATGGGAGACAAGCTCGTGGACCACTATCTATTTTGAATGAACTTTGGTCCAAAGATATCAAACCTGAGGTTCAGAACAGCTATCAGTTTGTTTTAGATCTAAGGGAAAGGTTGGAAGAAACCGCCGATTTGGTCGGTAAAAACCTAGAGATGTCTATGGAAACGTACAAGACCTATTTTGACCATAAAAGCTCCAAGCGTACGTTTAACGTTGGTGATGAAGTTTTAGTTCTCCTACCTGACAAATCCAACTAATTGCTAATTACCTGGCGCGGACCGTATAAAGTAGTGAAGGTCTGCAATAAGGTAGATTATATCTTGGATGTCAAGGGTAGAGAAAGAATGTATCACGTCAATATTTTGAAACGGTACCATCGAAGAGAAGTTAATCTTTGCGTAAATTCCTTTGACGAAGATACTTCTTCTTTCGGCTTGGGTACAAGTGGTGATTCGTACGAATGTAGAGTTTGTATTATAGATGACGAGTCTTTTACAGAATCGAAGGAACTACTGGACATCTTAACGCATGATCCCTCACCAAAGAAGTCAAATGTCAACATTAACAACGACTTGTCGAATAAACAAAAGTCTCAAGTAAGTGCCTTAGTAAACACATTTTCTGACGTATTCACAGAGGTACCAGGACTTACCACCACTATTGTACACAA